TGGGCATGACGGTGCTCTAGCAGCTGTCGGAGGATGAAGATTTGATCGATGCATCCACGACTAGCGCGAAAACCAGCCTGCTTTTCACGGGTCTGCTCTTCACGCGTGGTGTACAATCGGCGAAGAATGACGGACGCCAACAGTTTCGATGCTATCGGGATCAGGCTTATACCCCTGTGATTGGCGCAGTCATTGCGCGGGCTCTTTTTGAAGATGGGGACAACAATCGATTTCCCCCACGAGGACGGGACCTGCTCAGTGTTCCAAACTTTGGAGAACAGGACGTGGAGTTCTCTAACAAGCTTTATTCCACCATCTTTAAATAGAGCAGGGGGAAGGCCATCGGAGCCCGGCGCTTTGTGACGACCCAAGGCTTGGATCTCCTTGCGGATTTCCGTCTCAGGTGGGTCTGTTGTGACAGACCATGGGACGTGTGCCGGAATAGCTGCGTGAGAAGCTGACGCGGGTGGCCAGCACAGACAACTTGACATAAACCAGTGCGTGGTCGGAGTCCAAGCAAGTAGATCAAAACGAACAGCAGCCTTTCACACATCCTCTACATCTATAGCTAATAGCTACAGTCAATCTCCTATACCCCTGAGAAGTCGCATTTTACCATATCTTCCCACTTTTTTTGAAAACACAAACCAACGGTATGCGTAATAATGTAGTTGCTGACTATTCAATGTCGCACCAATCAATATGTGGCAGTGGTGGTTGTGGTCGTTGACCGATCTTCGGGACGACCATTGACCATCCACCCTGAAATGTCGCATTCAGCCAATGGCGTTTCACCTGGTGTGACGCATTCATGGCACTGTTCACTGATTGGATAATCCCTATGAGGGAGACACACCGGTGCAAGTGATCGGAGACAGTATCATTTGACGTCAAAATGTGCNGCAAGCGCCTATTGATCAGAGAAGCAGAATGTGTTGGAAATACCAAATCAGTCGGGTGCAACTCAGAGCTCCGTAGCCCAATCACATGGAATTTCACGAAAAACTGTCTACAATGTTATATCCCATCGAACGACTATCGGATAATTTTTTTAACGTTGGAGCATCTGAGGAAAGATGCCAACTGAAAACCAAAGAAAAGTTTAAGATAGTGAATGAGGCAACATTGGCTTGGTTTAGTGTTGAGAGAAAAGCACCGAGAGTTCCCCATGGTTGAGAGCATCGTATGTGAGAAGGCAATCCACTTAGCTCAAAGATTGCATCAGAATGACTTTAAGGCTTCCAAAGGTTGGTTTCGCTCTTGGTCAGACAGATATGGTATTCAACCGTACAAAGTAAGATACAAGCAACACATGGGCATTACTTTATGCGTTTGTGGGGAAAGCTTAGCGGTACCACCTGATGCAGTGGACGAGTTTCAAGCGGGGTTACCGCAGTTGATCCATGGATACGCGGATTGTGATATTTTCAGCGCAGATGAAACAGCTTTGTATTATAGGCAGCTCCCCGAATGGAACATTAAGTCTCAAAGGAAAGACAATTTCTGGATACCAGAAATCCTAAGTGTCATGTCACTGCTTGGTGGGAGCATGACTGGAGAAAGGTTATCACCGTAGGTGATTGGAAAGTTTTAAACTCCATGATGCATCCGAGGTATAGATAGAAAAAGCCTTCTATGCAGTTTTTTATTACCCACATTCGTGTGATGAAAAGTAGACCGGGCAAGCCCCATAGTCACGAGAACTTGCTGTTCAGTGATGGAAACCGGTAACCTAAGCCCCGGGACTTGGAGTGGCGAACCACATAAGGCCCCGATAGGTTAGGCGTGGTACTGAACCGGGCGACAGCAAAGCTGCCTACCAGCAAATAATTCTTCAAAGAACGCATGGATGACTTCTGCGTTATTTCACAGTTAGCTATCCGATGTCAACCGCAAAATGGTTTCTCAAAGGCACTCTATTTTACTATTAATGGATAACGCCCCTTACCATAACCAAGCCGCAGCATTCTCCAATGTTAAATTAGGACGACTGCCTCCGAACTGTTCTTCAATGTTACAACCAATGGATCAGAATGTGATTTAGTCTTTCAAATGTTCGTTTCGGAAACATTTACTGAAATATGTTTTGTCTTTGATCGAAGATGAGCAAGTTATCATGAAAGCCGAGGTAGACATTTTTATGACCACGCATCCTATCAAGAAAGCCTGGATGTCTGTGCATCCGCACGTACTGATTAATGCTTTCATGAAAGCTGGGTTCAAATCCACATGGATTCAGCCGGTGATGCAGCCACCAGAGGGTAAGTGCGATCTGATCGAAGACTTTACTCATTGTGTCTATTGACAGACGTCTTTTTGAAGAAATCGCTTGTTTGGAAGTTGATGCTGAAGAAGTGGGTTGTTTTACATTTTTATATTAAGTCTCTTATTTAGTTATTGGATGAATTCGTTTTGAATCAAGCTAAGCGTCGCAAAGAAGATGAATGCCAAGCAATGAATGCGCCGAAAGTTATCTCAATCAGAGAGGCGCAGGAAGTATTTGATCAATTGAAGGTGTTTGCTTTGGCTAGTGCTCGGAGTTCGGGTCGATTATTGGTGTACAATTGATTTAAACGTTTGTTAATTTCCAAACTGAGACGAACGAAGATTTATGATTTTGCTAAAAATACATCTTAGTAATCTGCAAAGATTTTGCGATCCTGTGGGGCACTCGAATATGTTCATTTGTGTTATGGGCATGCAAAAGACAGCAAACAGAACCGACGAGCGAAGGTGCATGGTTAATGTTTGGCAAAACTGAAAACTGGTCACCAAAGCGACGGCCATTGGGTCTATCGATGAGCTCTGTCGCACTAACGTGCAAACGGGTGAACGATAATCGCGACTGACTGGTAAGCGGGTGAGTGGAGTGAGATGTCAGATTCCAGCGATCGATAACTGCTGTTGCGCGGACGCGTATGTGTGAATGAATGAACGGTACTCGCACTTGTCCTTTCTAGAGCACCAATGAAATTAGACAGGTCACTGGCCCAAGATCATCGTAACCCGGGTCTAAGGACTGTTTGTGAGATGCACTTCTATAGTTTATGAATCACGTTATAACATCACGTGTTGAATCAATGATCATGACGAATATATCAATCGGTTTGAACATACACTGGCAACAACAAAAGCGGACGGACGAGCGGATATCTACGGACGCTAATGGTAGACACTCTTCACTAGTAACTCATGGATAAGTTGCACAGTGAACAATCAGTTTGAATATGGGAAAAAGTCAATGTTCTGAGTATAACCCGTAACAAATATTTAGCTCATTTTAGATGATGTTATTTCCTTCTAATACGATTATTTGTCTGACTGTGTTCGAACTGGTTCACTTTTGTTTTCCTTGAATGGGTTAATGATAATATGATTATCATTCGTATATTATTGTGGACGTCATATACTCAATTCTGCGGTCAGCCTAACATTGCAGCCGAATGGAGTAATACCTGGAATTAATATAGGATAATTGGAACAGGAAAAACTCCCCTGAAGAAAGGTAGGTAGTCTTGGGATAACTGGAAACCGAAAACTGAAAAAGGGCTGAATACCGCATGCAATTAATTTGCTTCGACGTGGAATAACCATTATTAGTCATGTCTCTTCAATCCCGCTAAAGGAGTTGGTAACTAACCTATGCAAACGTCATTTGAATGCATGTGAAAAGTTTGCACATAAGATTCTCATGGACTCCACACATCCATTACATGCAGATTTAACTTCCTCTCGTTCCCACCCTTCCACAAGATCACAATACCGTTGTGTTCCCTCTCGAATAAACATTTATCGTAACTCCACAGTACCCTCATTAGCACGTATTCTTGTTAACAAAGAGCAGGTTTTCACAGACTTTGTTAAGTTTCGGATTTAATTTCCGTTTCTTTTCCATTGTAATTGTTTTTTATATATATTTTTCCCCTTTACCCCAAACTGTGTACTTTTAACTGAAATGTAGGCTTCATGCCTGCAGAAGTTATCACAATACAATACAATACAATGAACCGACATTAAGCTGAGGGCGTCATAAAAGATTTTAATTGATTCGATACATATAGGATATGCAGGACGGGATATCTAAATTCCGTCATAAATAAACATTACAATATTACAAACATGGGAACAACTAACGGGATTAACCTATTTTTCATCGATCCGGTTTATTTTTTCACAAAACCGGCAATCGATTTTCCATACTAATTAATAGCATCTACTACTGACTAACATGCTGTCGCAGATCCTGGAATTTACCCACCTCTTCGAATTCCCGACATAGCAGGAGATTGACAGTATATGACCAATCTGGGTCCATCTGTGCCGAAGAGGGGTTATGCTAAGTGGCGAGGTGCCGATTTGGGTGTCTGAAGTTCGTGCTAACGAGGAACAGACCGTGTTCGGAGCATATGTTAGGAAGTCAATCCCCAATATCTGAAAGACAGCTATCAGAGCCATGATGGCCACCCACGTGGGTCTCATCGGGTAATAGACGGCCAACACGCGCGTTTAGGTCTCCGACCAGGATCACGATATCGGGCTCGTACTACAATTTGATGTCTGTTTACAGTGGATAGGTGGAAATTGTGAACGTATTCAAGTCATTAGTGGCCAAGGCAATATGAATGATTTGATTCCATTTCGCCTGTTCGCCGAGCTTGGCAATTTGTTTGCGAACGTTTCATCACCAGCCGAGGTGACATCATCAGTGCACTGATGATGATGCACTGAACTCTTCAAGAGTAAACATGGATGGTCGAAGAAAACGGTGGGCATTCAAATAACTGAATTTACGAGCCTTATATCTACTTGAGGCATGCAAGAACTAACCCAATGAGGGTAAAGTAGACGGTAGAAGTGTGATAAATAAAGTGTTGTGAGAAATAGCCAGTGCTTTTGTCCAAAACGAAAACATTCGAGGTAGCTCCATCTCCAACAATCCTCGAGTAATAAAACATTACAGTCCATTTCTGACAAAAGGTGGTTTGTTGGAGAAAAGTACCATGCTCCATGGGCAAATGGAGACTCTTACCATTGATTGGGTATTGAGAATACTATGCAAATACTGCTCAACGCTAGAACAGTTGTGCATTAACAGAACCCAAATTAAATATTAAAATGGTCGAAGTCCAGTGAATTAAACTAACAACCAAAGGGATGTCAAAAGCTTACCTCATCCAATAGATCGTTGAATTCCTCTGGTTCAGTGGACGGACGACACCGACCACAGCAGAAATCACAGCAGCAGCAACAGCAGAAGCAACAACAGCAGCAAGATAAGCAGAAAAGCGTGCCTAAACAGCACTATAAACGAAAGAAAAATCGAAAAGTTGTTTGATTCAACGATCGCATATATTAATAAGTATAGAGCGGAAAATTTTCACTTTTATTATGATTTCAACTACTGTCTTACAATTGGCGNGCGTTTTTATATGAACTAATCATCCTTCAGGCTCAATCTTTACGCCCAATCCTCAGTTCATCCAGACAACCGTACACTTGGGAAGACCTACACTGAAGTTTCGGCCTCATCAGTAGTGCATATCCCCCGTCCCGTCTGGGCTTTGAACTCCGGACCAATTCCATGGAAGGCGTGTGATCATTGTACCTAACAACTCACACCGGGAACGAACAGAACCTCCAATTTGTATTTGTTTAGATGTCGTCTTCAGAGGTGGCTAGTTATTTCTCTTCAGTCTTAAGTCTTCAGTACTGAAGGCAGAGTATCTCATCATCGCTCGGTCGAAAGGGTGATGAAGTGCGCTGATGTCCGTAGCGAAACGGATGGCGCAACTTCGGGCCCATATTATCCCTCGGGATCTTCCTCAAACAGATCAGATCCTTCCTTGTGGGCTGATACGCAACTGATAATAAGCTAGTGGCCTTCAAACGTCCTATGAAGCTGATCCCACGTAGGTGGTGGTGCCGCAGTATTTGTTGCTGTCACAAACGTACTTTGGACCCTATGGTCCGAAGGTCGAGCCCCACCACCGCCATCCAACTTTGGTGGTAGGTAGCTTTGCCGTTGTCCTTGTCGATACCACGTCCAATTTAGTGGGGCCCAATTTAGTTCGCCTATCCTAGTCCCGAGGCACAGGTTGACGGTTTCCATCACTGAATAGCAGGTCTTCGTAACTATGTGGTTTGTCCCGTCTCACGTTCATCAGACGAAGTGCAATAAAGTAGTTCATCAACTAATCTAGTTTAGTTCCAGTCATCCCAAAAGTGTTGACTTCTGTGATAGTTTACCGCCTGACAACCTTGAAGGGGATCAATATCCGCGAACAGCAAACCGGATTTCGATCAGGTCGCGGTTGCATCGACCAAATCTTCACTCTGCGTCAAATCCTGGAATTGCGTCATACATCGTCATACATCGTAGTGTTCCTTGACCTGAAAGGAGCCTTCGATTAAATTGGCCGAGGTCGCTGCTTCGCAAAGAAATGTTGCGGAAGTACGTAAACCAACTGCGTTCGCTGTACCTGCATATTTCTGGTAGCGTAAGGTTTTACGGTGCGCCAATTAAATCGTTCGAAACCAGGAGCGGTGTTCGTCAAGGATGCCCTATTTCGCTATTCCTGTTCAACTTCGTCGTTAATGAAATACTGGAGAACGCACTTAGTGGTCTCTAAAACGTAGGTATTGAATGAGCAGCGGGAGAACAGCTGTGCGATTTAGAGTACGCTGACATCGTTTGCCTGCTCGAATGTATGGAGGATGCGCAGAGAGCCCTTGGCAGACTTTCAAGTTCTGTGCCTCCGAAAGCCTCAATATGGTCGGGGATGGGTCGCGGGTGGTCACCGTTCCCTTGCACATCGCAAAATGCTCCCATACGACCAAGCGTCCTTAATAGCCTCTGCTGAGGAAGCCCTACTCACTACCTTCTCGTGGCAAAGGTGTTTTCCCATCAAAGTGGTATTGAGCACTTTGGGCGTTTGACCTCGTCCGAAGAGCGTATGATCCGATGAACTGGTTTCCACCGGTCCCCAATAGATTGCGGTTTTCACACACCGTCCCACTGCCTTGCGGGTCAGGTTTTGGCTAGCCGAAGGCTCCGGTTGTGGATTCCTCAAGAAAATTCACCTGCCTTGACCGGGGCAACCTGGCAGTAATCAGCCCACATGCAAACCATGGAACGTCTCTTCTTTTAATAACACGATTTGTCTGACATACAGTCTGGCTTCAGATGTGTGTAAAATATGAAGTTATGTAACTCCTTTCAGCATGAGCTTTGCACCTTGAACGTGCAAAGTGATGCTACAAGATTGGGCATTGTCGACCCCAGTGCTGATGCTTGATGGTCAAAAATTAGCACGTAGATTTATGATTGTCCTTTTTGTTGTATAGATTGCTGTTATTCTGGGCACATATTCTAACATTTCGCTTGTCCCGTTTTAACTCTCATGCCTCGTCTTTGGTCGATTAAAGCCTATCATTAAGGTGTTGTCTTCTGGTTTGTCTGCCGATTAAACGTATGATCTGATACACTACAAGTTCTCATCAATCACATAATCAACCCCGTTACATAGCAGTAGTGGAATATTTCACTTACTTAGGTAGCTGCGTTACAA